TTGAATAACGTACTTGTGCGAATATGGGCATCTGGAAGCCTAAATTTGAAATTTGAAATTTGTTTTATCATCGATTTCATATTTTGTGAAACTTTAACGAATTTTTGATTAACAAAGTAAAGGATTTTAAAGCGAGCAATGGCAAAGTTGTAAAAAAAAAAAAAAAAAAAAAAAAAAAAAAAAAATTTTATCTCCAGCGCGTAAGACTGTATCAGAAATTCTAAAGATATGATCAATTTAAAATTATTTTGCGATATTGCTCTGAATTGCATTTTAATGTTTTAAGTGCAAAGAAATGATATTAAAAAAACACCCCTTTGGACGTAATTTTTCTGAACTCTTTCAGATTTTTTTTTTTGTCCAAAGGGGCATTTGCCCAGGGACTATTAATTTTCGTTTTTTTATTTTGCGTCTAATTCACTCGTTCCTTTTTCGAATTGTTGCCACCAATATTTAGCCTTGTATTATATTTAAAGAAAATAATAATGAAGAATCTGCATGAATGTATGCATGTTTCTCGCATTGTGATAAAACAACACCTAGATCCATCAAAATTTGAAAACGTAATCTATAGATAATGGGGCCCTATTTGAATTTGGAATTTTTTATTATTGATTTCATATTTTGTAAATTAATTAACGAATTTTTAACAAACTCAAAGATTTCAAAAAAAAAAAAAAAAAAACAAAAAAAAAAAAAAAAATTTAAAAATAAAAATTTAAAAACAAAACAAAAAAAAAAAGAAAAAACAACGTAAAAAAAAAAAAAAAAACTTAAAACCAAATATTTCGCGTGAAAACTCTAAACATAAATACAGATTTAACAAAATTAAAGAAAAGAAATTCAACTATAACCAACAAGAAATTAAATTACGTCTGAATGCCCCAAATGGTTTAAGAAATTAACAAAAAAACAAAAAGGAATGCAAACACAAAAAAAAAAAAAAAAAAAAAAAAAACAAAAAAATGATACTTTATATCGGAAATTCTAACATATACAAAATAATTTTAGATCAAATGAATTTAAAAAAACAACGCCACGGTAACAACAAATGCCAATGCCCTTTTGGCATAATAAATCCGATGATTTCCGATTTTTTTGTTTTGTTTTTGTTTTTGTTTTTTAAGCTAGTAGGGCTATTAATTTCGTTTTGGCATTTTGCGTTGGAAACTTTAAATATCTGTTCAATTTTCAAATTGTTGCCACCAAATTTTTTCGCCCTGTATATTTAAAGAAATTAAATAATGAAAAAATCTGCATAACTGTGTGTATTTCTCACATTGTCGTAAAACAACGGTACCTAGAACCATCAAATTTTGAAATAACGTAATCTTTTAATGCCCTATTATTGGGTTTGGAAGCCCTAATTTGGAATTTGTTTTCATTATTTGTAATACTTCAACGAATATTTGATTAACAAACTCAACGATTTCGAAGCGAGAGTAATGGCAAAACTTGACGGAAGAAAAAAATATTTTTATCTCCAGCGCGCGAGACTGTCTATCATAAATTCTAAGGATATGGTCATTTTAATATTATTTTGCGATATTGCCGTTGAATTGAATTTTATGGTTTAAGTTCAAAGAATATTTAATAAATAAAGGTAATACACAAAAAGTTTAAAAACAGTTCCCTTTGGACATAATGTAAACTCTAAGCTTTCAGATTTTTATTATCTTTTTTTAACGTTTCGCGCGTTATCTTTATCTTTTTTTTTAATGTTTGCATAACTGTCGATGCCATTTTAGAGGTCTACTTGATTTCTCCACGTGGTGAAATATAGAGAGTATAGAAAGATTTTCTAAATGCAAAACAAACATTTGCTGTCCTTAATTGATTTTTATTTAGAAAACTCTTCTCAGAAAGAATAATACTTACAGCAGTTTCAAGAAGAGTTCTCAGTAGTATCATAATATTTGAAACTTTTTTTGAAGATTGTATTACAGAGTAAACTAAAATCCAAAAGGACCGCCCTTCAACATTCCTACTTTGGTTTCCTTAGCAATAACGGAAATAAAATGCTAAAATACTTCTCTCTTAACGAGGAATTCTTCCTTATTAATGTTACCGTGATCATAATTTAGTTTGTATTCGCAATTTACAATCAAAAGTTTTGAAGGAATAAAAAATCTATAACAAGTGGAAATCTCGTGGTGATTTTTTGAAGACTTCATTTAAAGTAAAAACTATTTTTCTTTTCTCTTTATTTCTACATGGAAATTCATAATCTCATTATTCTTCACCTGAATCAGTGATCCATATGACTAACCCATATAAAATAATCTTTCATGTCAGAAATATCGCCCCAAAAAATATGCCTCCCGAGGCGGATCTCTCCCATCTAGGTACGCCACTGAAAAATACAATGTTTTAGTTGAATAAAACCGGTGTCATTTTATTTCAGACCAACATAAAATAATTTCATTACCTTATTTTAGTGTACTGATACATTGTATAACGAACGTACGCATAACTAATAAGCATGGTCCTCCATTATGAATCGCTAGCGGATTTCATTACTTCTTAAATGCGGATTATATTTTAAAAGCACGTTAAAATGGCTTAGACGTAAACAAAGATAATAACCATAGCAATGTTTAAATAAATATATTTCTTGGTATTTTATTACAACTGAAAAATTACAAACGTCCTTTGACCAGAACCACAGTAACTTTCTTCTAATGAAAAGGAGGACAGCATAAAGAATCTGTGCTTGCTGCAACTGTCAAGAACTTCCTAAAGAATTAGAAATTAAACTTAGGGAAATGTTCAGATCAAAATCGAAGCATGTATATTCTGACAAGCTGAGATAAGACCAGTTCAGCGTCAGTTACATTCACTGCCAGAGGATCATCTTGAAGAATAAAAAGATCTCTTCGAACACGTTATTAAATCTAGTACCTCACAAGAAACTAATAGCAGATGTGCTCAGGTCGTTAGGTATTTTTTCGCCCGATGCAATCTCTGCGAGTTCCTAAATTCTGCTGCCTAATGGCTCCCCTAAATTAAAAAATAATAATAATAAAAAATAAAAAAACTTTGCCATCCATAAATCCCTTTCTAATTCACTAACTCATAAATTTTTCTTTCCTTTTCTAAATTTTAAATATTTGGCAGCTCCTAAATTCTGTCCGCCGCACCGGTTGCATTGGCTCTGGCTCCGACCCTGGATACTTCAGAAAGCAAAGGTCAAAAGAGTCTTCTTGTATGTAGAAGATTCAGATTAAATGCGATTAAAATTCTATGAGTACGTAATTGCGTTCAGCTATTTTTATAACTAATATTTTTTTTAAATTTTCAGTACTTCCAACACTGTTTGCATATTGTATGAAATTTATTACGCTCTTCCGCGATTTTTGACTGGTTAAGAAACAGCTAAGAATTATTCCCATAGCAAATATAAGGAAACAGCTTAGCTTATAATAAACGCAATTGTGAAGGAGAGATTCGTTATGAATAACACAACTGTACAGTAAAATTAATAACTACACATCAGCTATGGCCCACCAATGACCGAGAGGTAAAAGCCGCTGAACACTGGTTCGGCGTACAAGGTACGAGTCTCGGCGAAAGGGCTGGCTGCATGGATGCTTTTGTGGTTTTCTTCCATGTGTAACATGCATACGAGCAAGTTTTCTTCACAAAGCCCTTTACGGGGCATTCCTTCCTTTCCACGTAGTGCCTAATGGGGGAGCACGTAATTAAATAAATACATATATGACAAAGATTAGGTAATTAACCACTTGCGCTAAAAAGACGTGCCTCGCACGTCGAGACGCTTTTGTCTGAAACCGCGAGCGAACAACTTAACGATAGGTATTTATCGCAAAAATGAAATAACGTGGTGCACACGTCGCCTAACAACGATTGTTTATTGTTTAAGGAACGTGCACGAACTCAGTTAATACACAATAAGCTTGGATAACTGTACGCGATTTTTTGCGGCGTAAAATGCACTTTAACCGCTATGCTATTGAGCGCACGGCACCGCAACCGTTTAATTCGTAGAAGTGAATAAATAAATAAGTTCGTTGTTAATTAAAAAGATTTTCTCTGAGAAAATTAATTATTCGTCCGAAGTTATTAATAAGTCAAAATGAAATGATTAATCAAACATTTTATTTCTCGAGTTACAGCTCTGGATTGCACTCGCAGACGCGAAGCGGCGTCAAATGAGAAGACACTTACCGCTTATTTATTACGCGCCACCGCAACCTCGTGCGCAAGTAATTTTAGAACTACATCAATAAAATTTAAATTCGTGATTTTATTCGTTTCATTAGTTCGTTGTAAAGACAATACTAAATGTTTAATTTTCAAAAAAAAAAAAAGTATGTTCTATATGTTTAACGGAAATATTTTTCCCGTATTGATATAATCTTAAATAAAAAACAAAATAACAAAACTAAATAATAAATAAATCAAACTTCATATTATTTATATAAATTGAAAGTGAATAAAAAAAAAACACAAAAAAGATAACATTTAAAGAAATTTAAACAGGTTAACTAATCGCATTTACATAGCTTACAAATTATATTCCCTGTTTTTCTTATCTTCCTTTACAACCTCAAAAGAACACTTGTTCAATGAAAGGACGACATAAACACTTTGCATATAATTACAAATTTGACATTCATTTGTCACCAACCTTTTATTTATGATTAATTTAAGGAATGAAATTGACATTGAAATTAACTGTTCTCGTCTTGACAAAAGGATGAAGTAATTTCAATTTAAATTATTCGAATTTATTTGCAGATTACACAATACCAATTAAATTTAAATACACAATTATCGAGCTTTATAAAACATTATAAAACTCGCTAAAATACTTGAGAAAAATATAAAATTCAGAATTAAATTCTATTCGGTCAGAAGGGTTTCTTTTTTTTTATATGTATTTACTATTTCAAAGTATTATGGTGATTGATAACTTGGTTCTATACAGAAGAAGGAGGTAATTTTAAACTTTAATAGGGTGTCAGTTTCCTACTTACCATGATGTACTCTGTGATGGCTAGGAGTGACAAAGACATATTCAATAACTCCTAAAGAGATAATCAGCTGAAAATGTGAAGATACATCATTAATAAAATCTTTTTCTATAGCAATGACAGCAAATATAAGTAATAAAAATTCAGCAAAGTCGTGGCTAGCCCACAGGATAAAGATTAATCTGTGATGGATAACATAATAAATGGCATTAGAGATGTTATCTTAATTATTACATTAATGGCATAAATGTTTTGAAAACTTTTCAATTTTAGTTATCATTGTTGTTGACTAATGCTCACTTATCTGACCTATAAGCCCCGTTCACATGCAACGCTCCTTCGCACAGCTGCCGTTAGCAAGGGGAGAAAAAGGAGACATGAAAGAGTTTCGTCTTTAGGACCCGTTCAGAAGACCACCGTCTTCCTTCCCCTTTACACCTAAAGCCTCTATGAACAATGACGTCTCCGATTTGGCAGATTTCTAATACAGTTTACACATTTTTAACGTGGTTTACTGTTGTTAATTTTGTAATCTGTACTTTCGCAACTGGTACCTGAACTTTCGTAATGGTTCCTGAAAAATATATGCTTTTTAATTATTATTATTATTTTATAAGCTGTTATTTAGTTCACTCTTGGCGCTTGTCGCTATGGTTAAAAGATGGTAATGGATTTTTAAACTGCTTCCCGATAAGATATAGAACTCAAACTTTGTACATACACTGCTTGTGGATGTGGTGTCACGCTTTTGATTTTTAGAGGATTAATTTTTTTTTTTCAAATTTAAAGTTAAAACGACTTTTTGCAAATATTAACAGATAAACTGAGAATCTCAGAATATTATAGTTTGCACCATAACACACTGTGAAAGAAAAAAGAAATTAAATGAAATTTTAGCGTAATTTTTTTAAAAATATTTTGGGAGAAATTTTGAAAATCGTTCATATTTTTAGACTTTTTGATGCCCATTAATTTTAAAATTTCATATCTAAAAATATATCGGTTACAAACTTCCGACATTTTCAAAGTTTATAAAACAAACTTTTCGCATTTAAAAAAAATGATAAAGGAAATTAATTGGATGATTTTGTACTTTTTTGAAAGATATGCAATGAAGTAGAATGGAAAATATTAGTTCTTCTTGGGCATCAATTCGAAACATCGGTTTCAAAGTAATAATCTCATTATACCACACTATTTTTATGACATTATTTACGCTATATAAGTTGTTATTGTTACCAGTTGTTAGTTCAGCGTGAGATTGGAGATATTTCTGAGTTAACTTTCTCTTAAGATGCGTTTTGCATTCCGTTGTGTTAACGTTCTTTAGATTGAAGCATAACTACTGATTATACTTAGTGATATGCTAAACACTTGTACGAGTATTTCTGTGGAAAATTCCAGAACTTTGAAGTGTTTATGTTGATAAAATAAACTTAATTAAGCTATCATCGGATTTGAGTGCAATGACAATCATTTACGAACTATTATCAATCTATTACAAACCCGTACGCAAGCAGCAATATTATAAATAATTAATGTATTAAAATTGTTTTGAACGTGTTTTACAAAACAAAAACAGGTAAAGAAAAATTCTGCTTGCGTTTTATTAGTTTTTGCAATTTTTCTGGCCACATAAGGTTTTAAAAAAAGGATTGTAATTTATGTTTATATTTACCAATTGAATAAATAGCACTAGGTTTGATTTATATACATATGTGTATATTGAAATTCAGTAATAAAATTTTAAAGATTTGAAATGATTAAATGTCTATTTAGACAGTTTGAATTCTTTAAACTGCAAATGCAAACTGAGAAACTTTTGGACTTTTTTCAATAAATCCTTTTACTCCTAAAACATATACACGTATGGATTAAATTTTTTATTATTTTTACTGCTTATATAAAATATATACTTCTATATAAAATTATATAGAAACAAGTACTTCTATATAAAATTATATACTTCTATATAAAATTATATAGTTTTCTATATAAAATTATATAGAAACAAGGATGGATTTGCAAAATACTTTCGGAAAAAATTATTTAAATGAAATGTGACTGAGATTATTTGTTTTAAAGATTTTAGATAAAAGTGTATTTTTTTTTTTCTCAGAAACTAATTCATTAATTGCAAAATCATTCCTTGAAGTTATTTACGAAACACTCTAATAAATACAATAAAAAAAACTGGGGAGGGGAAGACATTGAAAATTGTAGGAGAAGAAAGACATTTTAATTGTAAAATTTTTCTTCAAAAATTTAAATTAAAAAAAAATGCTAGCAAAAACTTTTTTTCAGCTTAAAATTATTTTACTATTTTACCAAAACCATTTAATAATATTCATAATTATTAAATGGATGATTCAGAATTATTAAGTAGATGAAAATGCTTAAATTTAAAAAAAAATCATTCAAAAGGTACCGAGTCCCTTTTTGCGTTGAAGCCGATATGCACTTGTTTTAACTTTAGTTTTAATTTGAACGATAACCTAGCATCAGATAACCTTGTCTGTATTTGCCTATAATTTCCGTATCTTGTACAGTTCTATCTAATTTGGGGGAGGATCCCCAGACATCTATCAGCGCGATTGTTTCGCTGACAGTCCAGCGAGCAGTAACTAAAATTAAGTGAACCGCGCAGTATAGTACGGGAAATCTCCCCATTTGCCCTGCTCCCGAGAGGTAAGAAACATTCAACCAAGTTCTACCTCCAATTCGGCGAGGCAGTTAATGCTTGTCCCATGTGAACGGGACACGTTGGAAGAACCGGTTTTCGCTACCGGTCGAATCTGCTCTTGTGAACGGGGCTAGTCAGCCAGAGCCCACGAAATTCCTGGTGTCAAGAAGCGTAAGATATGCCTGCTGTTGGCAACAGCCTTCAGCACCTTGCAGGTGCTTCCCCAATGTTGATGGCCGCAGAGATAATTTTTTGATGGTTTCATGGACATTTTACATTTACAAACATTCATGCTTTCTCCGGGATTTGATCCCGTGCCTTTCTACACCGCAGTAACGCAAACCACTATACCGCTTGGGCGGCTTAGATTTCATAATTTATACTGATGTGAGAGATTCGAATCTTCGTGCATTTTTTCATCGTTCGAATCCTAGCATAGAAAACAACTAAAAATTTTAACTATATAAGAAATATATTAATTATTAGTTTTTGTTGAAGGCTACGTTCAAAGAAACATTCATTAAGAAAAAGAGAAAACACTTACTTCAAAATAAAATGAGTCTAGAAAATTGTAAATGTTTTGAAATGCTATCAAAATAGCTTTCACCAAATTATGTAGAGAAAGTAAACCTTAAAGCTGAAGAATTTTAATAATTGACTTCTTTATTGAATTTTTTGCTTAACTTTTAATGAATATAGGTTTATTTTAAGATATGTATGTTAAATTACTTTTAAATTTAAATTTATTAATTCTAGATTTCAAAATTGGTTTTAATTATAAAGTTCATTAAATCAAGGTTCTATTATTATTATTATCATCTTTACGTAAAAGTTTCGAGAAATTTGAGAACCTCCCGAGATTCAAATTCGTATGCGTCCTGCTTCTAAATTATATCAAATTGATAGATTATTCAAAAAACAGAATAGAGATAAACATTATCAGAAAATTAATAAATTGCTTTTAATCACAGTTTAACTTTTTTTTTTTTTTTTTCATTTCTCTTCTCAGATAATCGAATATACTACTATAATTTAGCAAATAAATTACAGATCATCTGCCGTAAGATTGCCAATTTACCACTTTTGTAAAAGATCTTCAGGAAGAATTAAAGGCAGCTTTTATTGTTTGCATTCTAACGTAACGCAAAGGAAAAAAATAGGCCTGTAGAGGTTTTTGTTATAAAATGAAGCTTTATTTACATAAAATAAAAGAAACGTGTTCATATCTAATGTGTCGATGAATAATAACAACACAAAGAATGCATTTAAAATTATAGAAAAGAAAGTCTCTTAAGGTCTCTAGTAAAAGAAAGTCTCCGTTATAAAAAAAATTAAATCACTCTGTTAAAAGATTTAAACACTTGTATTATGCTGCTAAAAGGAACAGAATTTGATTATGGAACAAAATTCTTCTTTTCAAGCAACTAAATCGTTTAATGAAAGAGAAAAGAAAGGCCTCCCTCAAAACCATTTACAGCAGAAAGGAAATGAAAATCCCATGGTTGCAGAAATGTGGCCCCTTCCTGAATTTATTTAAGCTTGAATAATACACACATAATTGTATCCATAATATTAAATATGGTAAGGGATAAATAACGAAGAACTAGCATTTCTAATGATTTTTAAGTAAATACAATGAAGGTGTGGCATATGCAGGGCCTGAATACTACCTGGGCTCACAAAACCTGTGAGCCTAGATAGTATGATCATATATTCATCATACTGAATGATCTTAATGAATTTTTAATGTGACTGTGAATTATGTCTCCCGTATTACTGCCGTGTCAAGGCAAGGATTTGTTACTACTCTAGTTTATTCTGATTTGTGCGCCAGATTAAACTAATTTTTTCCTTAGATAATTAGAATAAATAAATTTTAATGGATTTATTTATTTAGATAAATTTTTACTCTGGATAAATTTTTACCTTCGGCAATATTTTACCTTAAGTTCGCTCACAACTATTCTTCATTTTTTCGGAAAGTTTTTTAAACTTTCAACTGAAATGTGAAGACCCTAAATCTGCGCTCCCTCCTCACGAGGTGTTCTAAATTAGTTCGCAGCTTAACAATTAGTGCAGTGAGATTATAGCTCTACGACCAAGGATGGAATTCTGGTGTCCCTTTTCCTGGTACCTGTACCTGAAATGTCAGTGACAGCAAAAAAGGCATTTCCGAAATTTTCAATTAAACATTGATGAATGAAATATCTATGAGCAACCTTCCTTTCACCAGGTTGTAATTTTCGTTTTCTTCGAGTAGCCTCTTTTACATTTGGCAGCTCTTCGTATTTCAAATATCATTTTGTTGCCAAATTGTCTGCTTAATGTTCTAATCGATAAAACTCTGTAAATACCTCTTTACTTCTCTCCTTTATCAAATGTAAAAT